CGAGAGGCTGTCCGTGTGCACATGTTACCTGTTTTCAACTCAGTTTTTTTTTGTGTGTTATGGTGGTAATTTTCAGACTGTTTAAAAAAATAAAAATTTTTAAAAAAAAGATATTCTTTTTACCACTTGAGTCGCACTGATTGGAAATCTGGCGTGACTAGAGATCTCAGAATCCCAAACAAATTTCTGTTTTTTTTTTCAGAAATTCTGCAAAAAAAAGGGCATACGAGATCATTATTAAAAACCGCAAATGTCCTGGAAAACAACAAGGCAAATAACACAAGAGGAAATGGTGTGTTAAAATACTGAGCAGCTTGATATCATTGTCTAAATAAAATATAACTAACATTTCGAGTTTGATGATCAGTTTCCTTTGTTTCGTGCTTGATGCAATGGTTCCAGAAACTTTATCGTGACAGTCACGCTTTGCTGATGTGACTGAAGGATGTAGTGCGGCGTATTTCCCAAACTGCTCGTGATTTGGATTTTTTTAAAATGGATTTTTATTAGGAACGGAAAGGGAACAGTACCTAGAGTAGAAGTAATCATCAGACAGACAACTTCGAGGAAGAAAAAGCTCTAAGCAAGGCTTCAAATGAGTAATGCTCTTGATAATTTTTAAAATAATTTAATCGAAAAAAAAACAAAAATAACAATTTGTTGTGCGCTGTCGCGGAAAAAACGTACAAGAAATTTGATGTATGCTATTTCTCAAAATTGTCAGCAGCGCTGACCATCAGGCAATGAAGCATTGGTCAAGGCAGCTGGAAAAACGGCTAACGATATAGCTGGAGAAAAACCACTACCAACTGCTATTGGTCGTAGCATGAAGTAGGTAGACCTTAGACACAGTCACCGGAATGATCAGGATCGCTGGATGCAGAGAAAAATAAAGAATCAAAAAGAAAGACAGCTTCATCTGCTTATCATTATTATCGCTAACGGACAGCTGGAACTTGTTTTCCACTGTGTTACCTGTGAAGCTTTTGGAAGGGAGAGCTGGGTGTAGCGGAAAAGGTTTTTGCGAGTGGCACACACATTTCACAAATATCGTTGCTACGTAAACTGCTGAAACGATAATTTCCGGTTTTCGCTCATAACTGGCGCTAGTACCAAACAAACTTTTGGTTTCTCTAATTTTGAGCTCTTAAAACCGATTATTTTTCATCAAATTTGACGAAATTTCATGAAAAAATTCGAAGCAAATCCACATATTGACAAAACGTCGTGAAAATTAATGTGTCAAAAATTCCCAAATGTTACATCTCATGTTAAAAATTCAAAGTGGTTGTTTTCACAAACTCGCGCCTTGGCTTCTTTTAAGCCCAGCACACCAAGGATCTTATACCTTTCATATCATGATTTGTTGGTAACAGGCAGAGAAGTGTAAGACTGAGTGTGTGTGTCTTAAATTTTTAATTTTTTCATTTTTTTTTTTCAAAAAGTCATTTTTCTGGGAGATCGGAGCAGCGCACTGTTCAAGACCAGAGTCAA